AATTTGCAGTGCACATCAGAATTTTAAGGCAAAGCAATCGAATGAATGTCACAGTACGCATGAACAGCATTGCGTCAACGATCTTTCAAGAACAAAATATAATTTTAGAAGTACATTTCTCTAACATCGACCCGCATTCCAATCACTCATTATTTTTAATAAATTATCAATCTTGCATCATTATAACATTCCGTCCAGCACGTCCCCAGCAAGCTCTCTGATGCTGTTGCTATGAACAGCGTTGCTAGGGACACCGTTGCTAGCGATGCTGTTGCTATGTGCAGCGTTGCTAGGGACACCGTTGCTAGCGATGCTGTTGCTAGGGACGCCTGTCGCGAGGCTGACAGTTGGACCTCGCGGCAAGCAGAGAATACATTTGATTTAGTAGTGCATATAAGCGCATTAGTTTAACAGGTTTTTGAATTCTGTAGTCTAGATAAGTGGGGTTTTTTTTCACTGATAACTCAGCAACTCAAGGTCATAGATGTGTAGTGAGTTCAACTCAGTCACAGACGTAGACTTGGAGACAACACATTTATTCAACTCCAACACACGGGGTAATTTTCCCCTTAAAAGAATAACAACCTATGGTGGTGACCACCAGGCTAACTACACTAGTTACTACACTAGTTACCACGTGACTGGTGTAGTTAGCCAGATGGTGACCACCAGGCTAACTACACTAGTTACTACACTAGTAACTACACTAGTTACAACGTGACTAGTGTAGTTAGCCAGGTGGTGACCACCAGGCTAACTACACTAATTACTACACTAGTTACTACACTAGTTACAACGTAACTGCTTCTACGGACCGGGACCAATAGGTCGGGTCCAGGTCCACGTGTTGGAGACTCTTTGAACGTAGAACGTAGACGAAGGGTTTCTTCAGGATGAACAACAAAAACAACAACCCCGGTCCCTCTGGGGACCCGGCTTGTATTCTCTGCGGCGTGGCCGGCTCCGCCCTTGGCCACGCCCACCTTCCAGAACCCTCGGGAAGGATCTGGGTCCCAACCACGTGACCACCCCCAGCGCCCACTTGGGGGCCCCTTTGTAGACTTAACTGGTCACGTGTCCTCGCGGGTCAACCAGAGTGCCATGGGTTTTAGTAACCTCGTTCCTACGGCCGGCACCCACACACCCTGTCCTGTAGGGGCTTGCACTGCACTCCAAGCGTGGTGCCATCCAGCGCTATCAGTCAGCGTTCACCGGGCCCCTCCAGGGCCGGTACTACACTCACACCGCTGTAGTATCCGCGATGTCGCTACACCGGACGCCGTGACCCTCTAGGGGCGGCACTTCACGTTGACATTCCGCGATGTCACCACAGATGAGTTTTTATGTATCACCCACCCTTAGACGACGTGCTTTTAAACAATACCTATTTTTTTTACTTGTATGAAGTAAAAAAAATGGTACAGACAAATAGGGGTGGGATTTTACATGGACTTTTTAAATAGCGTAACGTTTAAGCTCCGTGCGAGTGTGATAGTGGTGCATGCGTTAGAACGCGCATGTCTTATCAAATTCTGAAAATGTTCTCGAATCGTCAATTCCCTCCAAAAAGAAAACTAAAACACTGAGGATCCCTTAATAGACTGGCTTGCGAGCTTGCATTTGTACACGTTTATTAAATATGCATAAATATAAAACAAAGACACAGATCCCTGTACAGCCTTAACAGAATGTTGGGGCAAGTGCTGTTTGCAAGCACCCATAAAGGTCAGGATGGCACACGAGGGTGCGGGTGGCCATCACCACGCCCATCCGCCTTTGTCTCCCGAGTGGCGATGTTTATACATCGCACCAGGTACTGATTGGAGTCTGAGTCGACCTTGGGGGAGGCCCAGGACCGGTTCAGATAATCATCACTTGTGTTGGTTGTGAGTGGGAATCGAACACGGGTCACCGGGTTCGTAGCGCAGCGCGCTAACCGCTACTCCTCTACCGCTCCCCACACACCCACACAGTTCGGCATCTCATTCTTAATCACATCTGATTGCGAGTCAAATTACTACGATGTCGCATTTTTGCAAAACATTCTGAAAACAATGTACAGCCATTCGGCAATGCTGTGCTGGATGGAGGCTGTTGTTCCATCACCATTAGATCTGCCATCATCACCGTCATCATCCCTTGGGGTGATGGCGTGTGCTGCCCAAGCGCACTTACTCCTCCTCACAGTCAAATGTGATTGTCTACGATTCTCATTTGTCTTCACGATCCTCGTGCTCCTTTATCTGTCTTTCATTACGAGGACATGAGAGAGGTTGCACGCGAGAGGGGGCCTTTTCGGTCGGTCCAGCCTGCTTGGCTGTGAGCGGCAGATCGACTCCAGGTTGTCATCAATGTCTTTTTCCCACGGGTGCCCCAGTGAGTGAATCGGTCTCCACCACCGCGTGTTGAAGTGGGCAGCCGCTTCCAGACTCCCTGCAACTCTCATAGAACACAATCGCCTCCCGGCCTCAGTAAGATAACTTCCCCGCGCGTGTCTTCCACTCACGCGGCCTCTGGTTCCTTATAAACCGAGTGACAACTTTCGCTTCTTTGCAAACGTGTTTTCCTTTACGGCCGAGCGGACGCGTACATTTTTTTCGGAGCGACTTTATTTCGTTTTGCTTCGAAACACGCGATAAATCCAATACATCAGAAAGAACACGTAACCTCGATCATCTCGGTGCGTTGTCTCTGGGAGAGGACGAGACGCACAAATTGCTCGCTCGCGACCAGGCGCGCGTGTTCTATATAGATGCGGGCAATAAACGTCCCGCATCTGTTCGCTGTCAAGCAGCAGTGGTACCATACGTGCAACTCAAGGGGCGGACGACCGCTCTCTGTAACCGCTGAGAAGGAAAGCCATCGCGAACACGGGTAACAATCTGTGCACCATTGGGTCTGTAGGTCTGGCGCTGGTCGGACCGGGACTGAAACCGGTTCAGGGTTTAATCGAGTCATGGCCCGCGTTCAGCGGAGCTAGGTATAAGCTGGACCAAGTTAATGCTCAAGAGATCCTCTGGATTCTTGAATAAAAACAAATCTAAAGTTATATTAAATAACAGCTCAGATTCCAATCGTAATAATCACAAAACAATGCATTTTAAAAAGCCAATTAATCTCACGCCATTGCTTACTTGTCTCCATCTCTTGAACATTGTCTATATCTCTCCTACCAACTCACTCGGAGTTTATAAATCGAACTGAAATTACGTAGCCGAGTGTGTCAATCACTATCCCACCATTCCCCTCGTGTCAGCAGCAGTCTCATCATCACCATCAGCCAAGGTCAATCCATTGCTGGATGAAAGCCACCTGAAGCTCCTCATGATTCTGAGATGTAATATACCCCCTAGCGCCTGCAACAAAGAGCCCACTTCCTCGTTCCATCTCCTCGGCGGACACCCTATCATCTCACCACCAGTCGCCACGGTGGCAAGGTGTTTTATCTCTCGCCTGGTATACAGCAGGTTTGTGGGTTCGATCCCAATTCCTGACGCCTGATTTATATATGAAGTTTGTGTGTCTGTCTCCCCGTGGTCGCGTGGATTTTTCTCCGGGTCCTCCGGGTTTTCCCCTTTACATTTAGAATCAAAGTGCGTTCAGAGTATTTGGCCGCTATAAATGTCCACGTGATAAGCCACTTTGTTGAGCTATCATTTGTGATAGGCCAGGGCGCTTCTGAAAAAAAGACCTATGTAGCACAGTGGACCTTACCTGGTAAAATAAAAAAAAAATTGTTAGTAGTTTTATATAGCGCATTCTATCGAGCTGGAGGCTTGGGAGAAACCAAAACCAGACCAGGTTAGATGTTCGCCCATTTTTCTGCACCGTGCGGCATCTTACACGATCCGTGTCTTTTGCATCTGGGAACTGAAAGCAATATCTCGATATTCATAACAATGTCAACTTTTCTCAATTTAAAAAAATGCATCCACGCAAAAAAAAAAAATCACCTCCATGTGCCGTGCAGTTTGCGTCAGAATCAAAAGCACTCGTGTGTGTAACTCTAACGGGAAAATGTTATCGCTTGAACACTGTATTAAATATGCGTCCTACACACAACTATATAATTCAAAATATTCTTAAAGGGGTTGTGCTGAGGTCGGCTCATAAAGAAGCCACACATCATAAGCACTAATTTGCTTTTTTTGCCAAGCTCAGGAGCCGTTGTTTATTACCCCCCGGATCTGCCAAGCCACGCGGACATCGTGCCACAAAGGGGCCCTTATCTCATTCCGAGTAAAAGTCCGGTGTCTTCACGTGCATTTGCTGCTTTGTCATGGACCACTGCGAATCGTGCTGTCTCATTCCTCAATGTGGGCCTCACCCATGAGCCTGTGTCCCCATAGAAGCCTGGCCCTACGTGAACCCTGAGCCCTAGCTTCGGTGCGCCGCGTATCGTCGTTATGCTTATTTGCGCAGGAAAGCGTCACCAAGGTTTTTGCAGTAGCGAGGCAACGTTGCTTGCTGCAGTGTGCGTAATCTAATGGGAGTGATTCTCAGTATAATTTTTAAGCATTGGGAATGCTTTGGGTCAATAGCGTGGGTTCGATTCCGACCCTGACGCCTGCTGTATATTTGTAGTTTGCATGTCTCTCTCTCTCTCTCCCCGTGGTCGCGTAGATTTTTCTCCAGGTCCTCCGGTTTTCCCCTCCGCAATTAGAATCAACATGAACGCGTTTTGAGTATTTGGCTGCTATACCATTTCCACGTGATAAGCCACTTGGTTGAGCTATCATTTGTGGCCAGGTGGCTTCTGAAAAAAGAGCAACATCGCTCAGCGAACGGCTCCTGCCCGCCGTGGAGGCTGCTGCTGCTGCTGTAGTAGAAGCAGCCGCCGTGCCCCCCCCCCCCCTCCCGTGCTTTGTAACCTTCTGACCCCCGTTGCCCCATACTGGACATGGTTGAGGAAAAAAAAAAAAGCTTTGTAGACCATCGGGTCCCCTCCGGTACAAAATGCAAATATTCTGATCCTGCTTTGTCGTCGCGGGCGCGCGCAGGTAGCGCCGGCACCTCGGTGCTGTTCAACGAGAACGGCGACGCCCCCGGACGCTACGACATCTTCCAGTACCAGCTCACCAACACCAGCAGCCCCGGCTACAAGGTCATCGGCCAGTGGATTGACCTGCTCAAGCTGGACGTAAGTCCTCGTCCGCCCCGTCGTCGACGACGAGATGCCTCCTCCACCCCTCCTCCACAAACCACCACCCCCTTGCCCCCCCCCGCCCCCGTGCCCCCTCCCTCTCCCCGCGCCCCCACCATACTCTCAGCAATCAGCGCACAAATAATCACGAAATTGCCGGAGAGGTGCCTAGGGAGCCACAAACCATTTGCTGGATTGCTCCGGACCCAGGTCGAGTGACCATGGAGCCAGCAGACACGCCGAGTATCTGGCTGTGTGGTTTGTTTTTTGTCCACCCCACCCGAACTCTTAGCTCGTCAGACACAACGTGACAATATGACGTGCTGGAATTGGCCCGAGCGTTGTGTTCAGTGGCGGTGCTAGGTATATATCTATAGATATAAAATTAATTAATTAATTAATTGATTAATTGACATGATAACATTTAGTCACACAAGAAGCCCAAGTGCCCTCCCCTACGCATGAAACATCGGTGTGCGGAAAATACCAGCTCGAGTTCAGATCTGAATACAAGTTACAAGCTGCATCATATTCTTAGTTTTTTCGGTAAAGTCACGTTGAAGAGAAACAACAAAATAAACCAACACACCTGATGATGACCGTTTGAGTTATGGTCGAAACGTCGTGAGAATTTTTTATTGTTTTATATATATTTTGTTATTTTGTTGTTTCTCTTCAACGTGACTTTACCGAAAAAACTAAGAATATGAATTACTGCAGTCACGAAAGCTTTAAATCAAAATTTAAGCTGCATCATGTCACTCATCTTTCTCTTTCCTGTGTTTCTATGCCCTTGCCTAGCTCCATCTCTGTCTCTTGTTTACAGCTCTCTCATTCCGCTACATCTCCCTCTCTCTCATCACTTTCTCTCTCCCACTCATCTCGCCCCATCTCTGTCTCTTGTCTCCATCTCTCTCGTTCCACTACATCTCTCTCATCAGTATCTCTCTTCCACTGATCTTGCTCCATTTCTGTCTCTTGCCTACAGCTCTCTCGTTGCACTACTTTTTAGACATTTCTCGAGCAATTTCTAGCGCCCACGCTCCCCCCCCCTCCCACCGAGGAGCGTTCTGCTCGTTATAACAATTGATTTCCGGCCGTGTTTAAACAAACGCATCTCACGTGATAAAAACGTGTCAACATCGACGGTGCAACAACGCTGAGCGTAATCTTTGCTTCTTCTTCTGCAAGCCAAGTTGATTTCCATTGAGCCTAGCAGCCCTGCTCAGACAGATAGTTGTTGTTTTTTGTCATTATCTGTCCCTGTCTGAAGATAGCCGGAGGCATTGGTCTTTCAAGCTAAGCTATACATCAAAAACATTGTTTTAAGCCCAAGTGTTTGCCCTATTGGAACGTAACTTTCAGCCTGTGTACAGACGTACGTGTGTGTGTGTGTGCGTTTTGTTTGTGACACAGTTGCTAACAGACTGCTTACTGGTTTGCTTCTCCACCCACCAGAGTATTATAGCGCAGCGGTTAGCGAGCTGCGCTACGACCCCGGCTATCCGAGTTCGATTCCCACTCACGGCCACCAACACCGGTGCCGATTATCTGAACCAGTCCTGGGCCTCCACCTGAGGTCGACTCAGCCTCAAATGAGTACCTGGTTGCTCATACCGATGAGAAGTGTTGAAATGAACTGATTACAATTCGCTACCCATCCACCAGTGTCGGCTCTGGATCCAGAAGACATGACCAGGAATCAAGCCGAGAATGTTGATTGATACACAACTCTCTATCAAAGGCAAATACAAATGTTCCCCATATAGCCTTTGGCGGACTGTAGGGGCAAGTGCTACTAGCGAGCACCTATGATGGGGTAGGTGGCCAGCACCACGCCCGGCCACCTTTGTCTCCCCGGTGGCGATGTTTTTTACTTTGCACAAGGTACTAATTTGAGGCTGAGTCGACCTAGGGGAGGCTCAGGACAGGTTCAGCAACTTGTAACTGTGTTGGTCACGAGTGGGATTGAACTCAGGTTGTAGCGCAATGCACTTTCTGTTGCACTACCACTCCCCAAAGACAAAGATCCCCCATACAGCCTTAACACATTTTTGGGGTAAGTGCTGTCAGCGAGCACCTGTGAACCGCAACAAATAGCACAAATGGGGCGTTGTGGCCAGCACTACACACTGCACTGGGTGCTCATTTTATGCTGGGTCGATCTAGGGGAAGGCTTAGGGCTGATTCTGACACAGGGTCGGAAGTGGGACTACGCCAGCACTCAGCTGCAATCCTGCCTGCTGACCATCATACAACAAAGATCACCCGTATAGCCCTTGACAGACTCTTGGGGCAAGTGCTGTCATCGAGTACTCACGCATATACAAAGACAAAGATCCCCCATATAGCCTTAACAGACTGTAGGGGCAAGTGCTGTTAGCAAGCACCTATGAAGGCCGGAATGGCGCACGAGGGGGTGGGTGGCCAGCACCACGCCCGACCGCCTTTGTCTCCCTAGTGGCGATGTTTACACACCGCACCAGGTACTCATTTGAGGCTGAGTCGACGCGTATACACAAACACAAACACACACGTGGCAACCGCGCATGCAGCGCCATACATTTTAATTGTGGCGACGTAAATACCGCGCCCTTTAATGAGCTAATTAGCGATGCTCGTAATGAACGTGATATATGCGCTGTGCATTTGTGTCCAGCGCTGGAGCCCAAACTGTACACACATTTTTACCACTTAATAATGCACCGACTTGCGAAATCATTGGCTGTGGGGAAATAATGGGCTTACTCATACACCAAACGTTGTGTCCGCATTAATTCGACCTGTTTAAATATGTATGCTCAGGGAGAGGTTACCGCAGAGTCTGCTGTTAATTAGAGCGAGGGGATACTTAATAATCATATTAATTGCTTGATATTTAGCTGCGGGGCGTCCACTTGCTTTGCCAAATCCTTTTAGACGTAATAATAATAATAATCATGGTAATTAAGCCAATTAACAGACACGTGGCCACTCTGAACGTTGAGGCAGATTTGTTTTAATAATGCCATCAAATACCTTGCTCGCAACAGGTAATGGGGCGGTGGTAATTGTGTTTGTTTGGGCAACGCAGCCTTACCCCATGGGGGCTGGTGTCAAGCGAGAATGTGAGCTGCCCCGACCCCTATGTCACCCTCACGACAATCTGAACGTAATGTATGATGAGTATGTAACTGCAATGCGTCACGTGTCGCGGTATGATGTGTTCTCCTTCTCGATGTGGACGTAGAGCAACGACTCCAATTTTACATTCAGGTGGTCAAGCCCAGATAGCCGCGTCACGAGCAGCGGACTGTGTCACCGTCGCTGCGATCTCTCCTTCGTATTTGACCAACTTTCACGCTTGAACTAAACTATATATATAAAAAAAATTAATGAAACTAACCTATTTTAATTGTACCAGGTACGCGTGTACGTTGAACTTCTTTCGCACCGTACCGAGCCAACCGTGCTAATCGGAGATGCGGTAAGGCCCCACTGAGCTCTGTAGCTTTTTTTTCAGAAGCAACCGGGCCCACGAATGACAGCTCAACGAGGTGACGTCTCACCACCACGTGAACATTTTACAGCGGCCAAATACTTGACACGCGTGTTGTCTGTTAATGCGGAGGGAAAAACCGGTGGAGCCCGGAGGAAATTCCACGCAACCACGGGGAGAGAGAGACGCGCAAACTCCAGATATACAGAAGGCGTCAGGGTCGAGATCGAACCCACGACCTCCTGCGTACCAGGAGGTCGTGGAGATGTTAAATCAGGTGGGGAGAAGGGTGGGGGGGTAACCGTGATAGTGCTACTACAGCGGTGATGAAGTTCTCTCGCAACGGCGATATATTTCCTGGAAAAAAAAAAACTTCTGAGAGCCATTGGCTGCTGAGAGCCATCGGCTGCTGAGAGCCATCGGTTCCTTCACTCAAGCGGTGGCCCACCACTCGCGCTGTGCCTTTCCCATCTTTCACCACAATTGCCATCTCGAGCGCGGACGCGTCTGTTAACCCTCGGTAGATTCATCCCGTGTGCTGAACAAAAGTAAAGCGAAATTTGCCTGTCGAATGTTTCCCAGCGGGTAAGGAAGTATCAGCAGGATTCACGTTTGTTGTTGTTGGCACGCGCACATCTGTGTGTCTGTGTGTGTGAGTGTGGCAGTGAGGCGGTTAGCGTGCTGCGCTACGAAACCGGCGACTCGGGTTCGATTCCCGCTGACGGCCAACACCAGTGACGATTATTTGAACTGGTCTTCGGCCTCCCCTAGGTCGACTCAGCCTCAAATGAGTACCTGGTGCGGTGTGTAAACATCGCCACTAGGGAGACAAAGGCGGCCGGACGTGGTGTTGGCCATCCACCGCCTTGTGTGCCGTACCGGCCTTCATAGGTACTCGCTAACAGCACTTGCCCCAACAGTCTCTTGAGGCTATCGGAGGGACCTTTGTCTTTGTCATGCAAGACATGGCACCTGGGTCTCTCCCATGACCCCCTGTAAGTTAGCCTTCGACACTTTACATGGCCTCAAAGTGCACCTAGCCTGGCACCAGCATTGTGGTGATATCCCCACCACTTAGTGGCCAATGGTGGCTGTTGTTGCTGTGCAAGACATGGGGAGCTCGTCGCGTAGCAATTACCCGGTGACCCAGATTCGATTCCCGTTCATGACCAATAACAGTGGCATATATATGAACCGATCCTGGGACTCCCTCTGGTGTCGTGTACAAACTTCATCAGAACGAAGGAGACCAAGGCGGCCGGGCATGGTGTTGGCCAACACCACTTCTCAATAGGTGTTCCCCGTGAAGGCCTTTACGGGTGCTGGTTAACAGCACTTTTTTTCCAACTGTCTGTTAAAGCCGCACCTCCGATAGCGGGGTTGTCTACGCACATACGTGCAAAATGGAGTTCAACATAAATACGCACATACGTGCAAAAGCTACGCGGTGAATCCTTGTCTGTGTGTGCAAGCCCAGCGGGCATTATTTGTCGTGCAATTTGCATCCAGAAAGTGCCAA